AGTTGCGTCACTGGGAAGGGGGGGGGGAGGGGGCGGCCCGGCCCGACATTCGCCGTCCGATGGGCCCAGACCCGATCCCAATCAGCACGGGTATCGCCGCCCGCGGCACGGGCCGGGAGCGGAGAGCGACGCTGTTGCTGCGAACGTGGCGAGGTTGGCGTGCTGGCGAGTGCCGCTTCCGCGTCACACGTGGAGAGTTTCTCTTCTGTTTTGTCTCGACCTCACCCAAGCGCATCCCACGGCAGCCGGGCAGCGACCAGCCCTGTGCTGTGAAAGAGTCGTGAGCCGGACACCAGCGTGCTTCGTGACTGCCATGGCCTAACGGTGTGCAGCACCAGCGGTACAATAAACAGTCTCCGCAGTGAAAACAGAAAACTGATCCATTATGCATGCCTCCATGGTTCGTGAAGACTGTCTAAGTATTTCGGATGCATCAAACACCGGCGAGCCCACCTGGAAGAGTTCGTGCAACAGCTGGTGCGCCCCGAAATGAGAACTGTCTGACAACTGCGTGACCATGTCAGGTGTGCGGTCACAGATGACACCCTCACCCGCCTCAAAAACCACAGCATAAAAACCCGAACACGCGCTTGGCAGACGCGTGGCGGGTGGACCTGGCTGCGGGCTGCAGGCTGGTCGCCCGTTACCTGCAGCCGGTGCCGTGGTACCAGCCGCTACTTGCAGCCGGTGCCGTGGTACCAACCGTCACTTGCGGCCGTTGCCGTGGTACCAGCCGTTACCTGCAGCCGGTGCCGTGGTGCCAACCGTCACCTGCAGCCGGTGCCGTGGTGCCAACCGTCACCTGCAGCCGGTGCCGTGGTACCAACCGTCACCTGTGGCCGGTGCCGTGGTACCAGCCCTTACCTGCAGCCAGTGCCGTGGTACCGACCGTCACCTGCGGCCGTTGCCGTGGTACCACCAGCCGCCGCACAACAGGAATCGTCGCTGTCACGTGACAGTGGTCACGCATGCGTGCACCAAAGGAGAGTTGTACCCGCACCGAAAGCACTTCACATTGGGCCGAGGTGATTTGTGCCTGGAGTGTATCCGGAGACGGAGCTGGGTAGGTGCGGCGTCCTGCCACCAAACTGACGGTTGGCCGCAGGCGGTATCCAGGCGGTCGGGCATGCATTCCGCCAGGGTATTCCAACGCCGTTCAACTTTGCTGCAATCACTGTGAGCGTGTGCTTGCAACAGATGATACCTGTCTGCGACTTGCTGAGGTTACAAACGTTGCCGCTGGCTTCGAAGCGGGCTCGTAATTCGGATGCCACGCGGCATGCATGTAACGTAATACGCCACAGGGAGAGACAAATGTCCGACCCATTAGCACAAACAAATGACAATCAATTGTTTTGACTTAGTGTCCAACGATCAAGGCACTTGTACATACTGATAGTCACGTGTGCTGAAAGGCACCCTTGGAATACCGCAAAAAAACTTCTGAATTTATGCAGACATTTACTGCACAGCGACGAAGCATGGATGACGAAGCCAGCCGCCTTGTAGACGCGTGCTGTTGCATTTGAGACGCACACTATGCGCATCGCATTACGAATTTCGCAGAAGCTTCGCATGACGCAGGCAAAGTTCACTATTGTCAACTTTATGCCAACATTCTCACAAATTGCCTGCATCAGCACACAATTAACAACGTTGATCTGCCGGAACTGAGCGGGGTGGCAGCATGGGCTAGCGGTACCGGGAGCAGAGCTCATGCACATGCCGTGCGGACCGGACGGAGCTGTAACCACCGGGCCGAGAAAGCTCTCCCGCTAACCCGCCCTGCACTTACGCAACCGGCGGTCTAAGGCAATGCACGTCGTTTGCCAACGGTTTGAAAACGGCGCCTTGCATCACGCTGGTCCCGGGCCGACGAGCTGTGACTGCAATGAAGGCGCTGAGCCACGGCGGGCCGTCAGCGCGCGACCCAAACCCGTCGGAATCGACTTTTCTCCCTCCCGTCACCATGATGCCTTCCGCTATGATGCCCTATGATGCTCGGATGCCCTGGTGCCTCCTCACCAGCTCCCCACCTCACCCCCTCCCTCTGTAGGCGGGTGGCGATGCACGCTGGCAGCGGCGGCGGTCGGTGAGCGGCGTGCGGCGTGCGGCCAGTCTTCGGCCGGCGCCCGTCCCACTGACAGCAGCCTCCGCCAGCTGCGCCGCCGACCGGCACGTCCGCGCGCCACATCCCGCCACCGCCATGGACTTCCTGCTGTGGCAGAACAGCGTCGCGAGCGTCTGCGGCGCGGTGGTCACGGCGCTGCTGGTGCAGGCCGCGTTCAACACACTCCGCTTGTTCTGCTCGCTCCTGGTAGGCTATGTTCTGCCGAGATGGACCGATACGGACGTGACGCGCCACGGCAAGTGGGCAGGTGAGTCGATCCAGTTGGGCGAGGTCATTGTGGTTTCTTGTGTGTTTGTCATACCGGTGATCAGTATACAATTAGTATAGTAATGTTGCATACGTTATACGCCGCCTGCAACTGGAAACCTGTTTACGTGCAACTGGTTTTGTAAATGCCCCTGCCATCCAATGTCCAGTGGCGGAGGCAGGGAGAGCATAGGGGCGCGTGCCTCTCCCTTAGGTTCCGGGGATCCTCCGGGGTCTTCTTCTTCGGGATCCTCAGGACCGACAACTAAGGGGTCAAAACGTTGTCTGGAGGTCGTCTGAAGGGGCCTAGCCCGCAGGGCCGGGCCCGTGGCACCCATTGGGAACCCCTGACGAAGCGATTGATATTGCCACTCGATGGTATCCAATCTTACCTGAGGCTCGACGTTGGGTCTTGAGTTCGAATCCAGCCTCCATCAGCATTCTCGACGGATGCACGCAGAGGCGGATCAACGGCGGCGGAGGAGGGTACCAGGTCGTGCCCCGAGGCGAAAATTGCTACATTTTTTATCTTGAAAAAAATGCAAGCAAACGCTACTATTGCCCTCCCCTCTTGCCATTCCGTAGGCGGCGCGCGCCATTGTTTTCTCCAGCATAAGAAAGCTATGAGGGCTCGCTCACTAGTTGCATGGCTCAACCACTGACGTCATCATCTTTTGGACGAGCCCATTTCGCACATATGGGAAAATTTTGGAGACGCTGTCTTGCCGGCTTCCGGCACGCGCTTTAACGTCTCTCTTCGCCGACGAGGAGCCATTGATGGCGCTTTCACTGGGCGTCGGGGATCGTGGGACTTTCAGCGTACCCCGCCTCAAACAACAGCAACCCGCTCATTCAATGATTTCCAATCAAATGCCCTGAAGTGTCATGTGCCTTCGTAACGTCACGATTTACCAACATTTCGGGTAAAACAAGCCATGCAGAGGTTGATGAATGTTTGGCTCTCGACCTGGCATTGCTCGAACTTTAATTTGGTATACGACCGTTCTGAAAGTCCAGGCGGGTATGCTAAGCCTCGGTGCGCCAACGCTCGGCGTTTTAATGTAATCCATGCTCACGCTGATGGGGTCTGCATCAAACCCACCTGAGGCAGTGCGGTTTCATTCACGATATTTATGCAAGATTGCACGCTTTGGTAGGAAGTTGCGATGCATGAACCTGCATGCAATACCTATTTAATACAGTTGTCATGACATCAATCACACATCTTGCTACTTACCAGCCTTTCGCCTACCACGCGCCATCGCGACCAGATTGCAACACAAACTACAAAGAAAAGGTTGCAATTCAGAAACCGGACGCACATTGTCGTCCATTCACACCAAGGACGCGATCAGAATTTGAGACGGAGGCGGCTGGGCTACCAGGATTGTGACGGGGAAGGTAACGATCGCAACCCAATCGCAGTCGTTTAACGGATGGGTCGGGACAAGGCATCAGTACCACAAAGTGAGTTATTGTTCGAGCTATTGTCCTCACCTGGTGTGTAAGTATTCGCGCAACGCTTCTGCCAGTTAATTCTCCTTTCCGTGATGCGATTATCGCATCCTAAAATAAGGTGAAACAAATCGAATAAACCGCTAACTTGCCCACAGAGGAACAGAAATGAATCCCACTTGATCTTAGGCCTTATAACCAGCACTCGCTCTGTCTAGGGAGAACCGTGTACCTGCCCTGCCTTTGGCTTCATTTGCTCGCAGCTGTCGGGGGCGACATTATTTTTTAGTGCCGAGAAGATGAGTGTTCGCTGATTGTCATGCATACATGCACGCATGTCATCTGTACCAAAAGCGTACCAAAAGTACCCAAACATGTACCAACATCATGACCTTGTGCCTGGATATCGTGAATCAAACTGCACTGCCCGAGGTGGGAGACCCCACCAGCACGGGCATGGATTACATTAAAACGCCGAGCATTGGCGCACCGAGGCTTGGCATACCCTCCCGGGCTTTCAGGACGGACATATACAAAATTCAAGTCCGGGTAGTGTCAGGTCTCCGGTCAAATATTCATCAACCTCAACAAGGCCTGTTTTATCCAAAATGCTGATAAATCGCAACATAACGAGGGCACTTGACATCTACGGATATTTTATTAGGAATCATTGAACGAGCGAGTTGCTATTGCTTGAGGCTGGATACGCTGAGAGTCTTACGATCCCCGACGCCAAGTGAAAACGTCGTCAATGGCTTCCTGTCGGCGAAGAGAACCGTTAAAGCAGGCGCCGAAAGTCGGCAATACAGCTCCTCCAAAATTTTCTCATTTGTGCGAAATCGACTCGTCCAAGAGATCATGACGTCAGTGTTTGAGCCGTGCAGCCCAAGAACGTGTTCTCATGGCTTCCTAATACTGATGTAAATAACGATGCACATGATATTCTGGATTCACTCCTGGCGTTGTGAATAAAGGCATTTTGCAACTTTGTAAACGTGTGCCACCCCCAGATCAAACGGTGACTCCAGTTTGAATGTAATTTCTTACCAAATTCGAACGCCTCAATTGGCCCACATTTTGCCACTAGCATGATCATCCTACCGTAAACACAATGCACCAGTATATGTAATTCGTTCGTCGGGAACGTCTACAGTACCAAGGACATATGTTTTGTTTGTTTTGTGTGCGTCTTCGTTTCGGATTGCTATCCTTTGGTGATTGTGAAGTTTAGTGGGATCGAAATTGCCTCATAAAATTTATCTGGTACTTGGCTTATCGATGACAATGCGCTTTATCTTGTTCTGCTTGTGACAGCGATTGAGCCGCTAAATAGCAGGCAGCGATCGGACTACCTAGCATGCTCGCGTAAATTGCGGCAGCCTGGCCATGTATGTTGCATTAGGAAGTGACTCCTTGTCCGCTATAAAAAATGCGTTAGCTACCTTTGGAGCTATATGCTCATTAAAAGTAGTCCTTGACCTGATGAGGTTTGTGAGCTCCCTTATACGTGGTCACCTGCTTCCAAGATTTGCTAGCTGCAATCTGTTGAAGTATGGAAAATGGGCAGGTAAGGGTTTGACTTCACATGATACCTATGATACCAACACATCATGTTAGCAATCATCATATATTTGCAAGCTTTGCACATATATTTGTTATGCAGTCATGACATATGCAGGGGAACAAAGTTGTATCATGCTAGGGGGAGCGCTCTACACTTGAAAATATATAGCACCAGCCTTACAGTGGTACATGGAAAGAAACACCTTGAAGGGCATCTGAGCCACCCTTGCAATATACCAAACAATTACAACTTACCTCCATGTCCCCATCTTAGCGACTGAACAACTGCATTGCACATATATCTTAGATTTGAATGCTTAACATTGAATGCAGTCATTGGTTATTTCTGTGCCTCAAGATAGCATGTGTCAAGGAGTTGCAGTGTTTCAAAGAAGATTATGATAAGAAATAACCTGAATACATATTTTCAAACATAGATATTTTAAAATGAAAATTGGCCCTGGTGTAAGCTTGAAGCATGTCCCATGTTCAGCATGCTGATGTCATCTCAATCATCATTGCCAGATTACCTTATATATGATGGCAGAAAAATTGATACCATGAGTGTGACCAATTAAAATTATTTTCTGTGCGTGTTTGACAGAAAATCAGAAATAAAGGTGCCCTACACTTATATTGAAAGTTTGCAGGCAGCATCTGAAGATTGTGCATGGACTGATTGCACATTCATTGCACATGCATGGATTTTACATGTGTTGATTGTATGCCACCTGTATGTATGACATTTTTTTCTGATGTTAGTGTTTACCATGAGTGGGGAAGCTCACTGCTGGGACACCTTAGCTGGGCAGTATTCCGACATTTGACCACTTGGGTGGCATATATCTTAATTCTTCTATGCCATTACATCTCAGCTTATAACTCATTCCCTGTTGCCCCTCCCCTTTCTCAAAACCATCTGATCAGCATTAAACTGCAGGCCAATAAATCGCTGCTGCTTTGCTGGTGGGCTGCTGGGAGAGCCAATAATTTAGTAGCATGAATATATATTTACCTCCTGAACACCCTACCAGATGAATTTTGGAATGCTGCAATTAGGACATGGCTGAAGCTTTTAGAAATGTTTTTGTGTCAGCTGTGGCACAAGCCAGCTGAAGGTCAATAGTTCTCCAAATAAATAAAGATTTTCATACACCAGAGGATGGCAGGCAGCTTAAGGACAATGTCAATCAAGTGCTATGCCACAAAGCAAGTTGTTTTTTTTTCTCTCCACAAGGTACATAATACTTTGCCATTAGGTGCTTTTTGGTGGAGATGATTGACCTGATCACCCTAAGGCAATCTCTTGCCCGCCACACTGAACCACATCATTGGCCCATCCTGTGCTGCTGTGGGCCATGCCAATGTGCTGCGACTCCCCTCAAGCTGCATCATCAGCCCTCCCTGTGCTGCTGTGGGCCAGCCATTGTGATGTGCTGTGATTCCCCTCAAGTCCCATCGTCGGCCCACCTGGGGTTGCTGTGGGCCATTGTGATGTGCTGTGACTCCCTTGAAGCCCCATCATCAGCCCTCCCTGTGCTGCTGTGGGCCATTGTGATGTGCTGTGACTCCCCTTGGACCCCATCACCAGCCCACCCTGTGTTGCTGTGGGCTTTGCTGATGTGCCGTGACTCCCCTCTGGCCGGCAGTGGTGACGGGCTGCACAGACGGCGTGGGGCGTGCCTACGCCCGCGAGCTGGCGCGACGCGGCAGCTCTCTGGTGCTGATCAGCCGCTCTCAGCAGAAGCTGGACGCAGTCGCCGAGGAGCTCCGTGAGTGGCCGACGTCTGCCTGTAGCGTGGGGCAGCGCGGTGGCCGTGCCGAGAGCCGGGCTGGCCTGGTCCAGCCTGTTGGTGGGGCTGTGGACGATGCGGTTCGTGTTATTACGGCTTTGCAGTCTTGCCCTGCTGTGAGTGAGCAGAGCGGTGGTCTTCAGAGATGCTCGTTGTCACCACAGGCCACTTGTTAGCTTCCCTGTCATAGTGATCAGCGGCAGACCTATAATTTTTTTCGGGGGGGGGGGGTGGGGAGCGGAGATGAAGCTTAACAAGGATGCGTCGTGCTAATTTTACTATATGTCAGTAACCATCTTTGGTGAAAAAAATGTGGATGTCACCAGCTGCGCCACCACCGAGTATGTACCTGCACCCAGGGCTGCTTTCCTGGTTTAATTGTCCAGCGTTTTTGTTTTCCTGCTTGTTTGGTATGTGATATGGACAGCTGAATGGTGGTATTTGAGCTTGGAGGGGTGTAGTTTTGAAAACAAGTTTATTTTGAGAGGTGGGCTAAGTGCTGGAAAACGGTGAAACCCACCCCAAAATGTGATAGAGATGGATCTATCTAGATTTAAGTCACCTTTTTCTTAAAGCTTGAGTTGGGGCCCAACCCCAACCCCCAACTGAAATATTGTTTGATACAGTTGTGATCATGGTGTATTTAGTTAGATTGGTATGGTAAACCGATCACAGATTGGTTTATCTATGACACCATATTTGAAATTCTAAGAAAACATTGTTTGTTTCTTCCTGCGTGTTAAACCCTTGCTGAACATAAGCTAGTGGTAAAAATGGCATGGCAGGCGGCGTTTTGAAGATTTTTTTCTCGGAATATTCAGATTCGATGGATTTTTGGGATCAGCGTCAACATTAAACAGCTTTACATCAACAACGATAAACTTGTTTGGTCTGACCCCACCATCCGATCGTGGAACTCCTCGCCGACCTCTGAATATTGCGACGAAGCTTAAAAGGAGTGTTCCTCATTTCTATGGGGTTTTGAAATTGAAACAGGCATCTTGAAGGTCATTCGGTCCAGTTCACTGCCCTTCCCTTTTAAGATCAAAACCCCTCTGGTTTCTGGGCTGCAGGCCCGCAAAATGGGGAGGTTATTTCGGAGAACGTATTTCAACGTCCCCTTGGTATTTATGACGTCATAAAAATGGTGTTCAAATCCCGTCATTCCATAAGCAATGCGGTGATCAAAGCAAAAAAAAAAGAATGCAATGGTTTAGTCGTTTATACCTGACTGAATGTGCAACGAGCTCGCAGACTTGCTCCTGACACGAATATTCCAATGGCCATGTCATGTTTGACGTTGAGCACATGTCCGCTGGGACAGGGAATCTCTGTGACGTTTCTATGCCGTCATACTTGCCGGGGTAACTGTGAATTGGACGGCGCGAAATAGTCTGCATATGTTCGCGTGCGCCTGGCTGAGAAACGAGAAGATTTGAGGCCTTGAAAACTGTGAACTGCAGGGGATTATCCTGGAAATGGCTGTTCTCGTGCACAACTCCGAGGAACTGTGGAGTGGCTCTCTTGACGTGCCGCAGCGCTCGGGACGGTCCGTCCTGCCCTCTGACGCCGCCTGACCGTTAGTGCGGCTCCAAACCACGCCGGCCGCGGACCATCCTAATCAGATCAAATAGCGAGTATTTCAGTCGGCTATCCCTCCCCCCTCCCCCTCCTCCCTCCCCCCCCCCCCCCCCGGCTGGATACGGGTGGGTGCATCGGAAGCCAGGCCCAGTTGGTTACAGCGAATAGAGGAACAGTGGAGAATAGCTGGACATACGATGTAATTTATTTCCAGGTTGAGCTAAAACCAATAACAACAAAACGGATCACTTTGTTGAATACAGTGGTGGTAGGTTTGACCTCCACATGCCAATTAGTTACCTCCCATTTTCGGTCATCGTTAATGTCAGGAGTTAAAACAATCCAAAAGTGATGGCTCCCGGCGTTTTCGAGCGCATCATTTCAGAAAAAGCGGATGCGAAACCGTCTGTCAAGTCGATTTGGTGAGAAAATGATGCTAGAGCACCTAATGCTAAACAAGGCGATTATGTACTGCTTACGGTCGTTGATAATGCACCCTTGTCGTTGAGCCGTTTAACCTGGAAATATGCTCGACACATGTTGCGATGAAAGGGATAAAACCGCCGTTCTTTATAACGTGACCTTGCAGACTTTGGTAAGTCAGCTCAATAATCTGACGTAACCGGAGGCAAACGGTTTTCTTCTACAAAGTATGCACAGTTAATGTATCATCTGCTACGCCAAACATCACTGAATTATTGGTGGCCGTTTTTAAGTGCTTACTGACATGTCGCTGGGGGTGGGTGTGTTGACACCCTCCCGTCGCCCATCGAAGGTCAGATCAAAGGAATTGTTCCGCCCTCAAGCGGTTTTATAATAGGACAGAGCATATTTGGACAGAACACGTTGGTCATGGCAATGCCTTTTCTATGAAGTCAAATGTGGATGACGTCATGTTTTCGAGAAAAAAATGTTGGGCCCAATCGCATCATAGGGCTCATTGCGTCAGACCCAACCAATCACCGACCAGGAGCAGAAGTTTGCTGTCAGACCGTAAGCCGCTGTCCACCATGGTGGTGCGGCATTTCCCGGTCACGTGTCAGTAAGGGGAAAGCAGTTGGAGGCGGAGATTTTGCTGCGTTGACATTGCACGCGTGCCGGGTGCGGGCTTGCACCAGGTCTGGCTTGCGGACAGGATGCTGCCGTGGGAATGCGGCTCCAGGGTGCGTATCGCTTCCAAATGGTGTTGTACCGCCGCGGCGATGGCGCATGCTGCTCACATCGCTGCAAGACTGAGCTGAGGCGCCTGATGGGCCCCGGGCGAGACCGAACACGGGCCCTTCACAACGCTGCAAGACCTCTTAGCACCACTGCTAAGCTAGTCTTCGATCGACAGATTAGTCTCATTTGCATGGGATTTGCATATGTGTGTCCGTGGCATTCATTTTCGCTGACTTCGGTATGGACTGCACGCAGTGCACGCCTGCGATGGCTCCGAAGGTCATGTGTCGGTGCCAGACGCTTGAGGGAGAGAGGTGCGCCGTTGGTAATGAGACAGAGTTTCCTGTGTATGTAAAAAACGATGCTTTCTTTTTTGTATGTTTTTTGTGTGTGGAATAGTTTTCCCAGACTCCTGCCTGAGCCGAACGCCGTGCGCACGTGCGATGCGTTTGAAGGTCGTGCGCCGGTATGAGGTGGGTGTGGTAGATGGGCATCGATAGAAATCAGAAAGAGCTTCCTGCATATTTAAAGGAAGTGTTCCCCGTTCGTATGGAGTTTTGAACTGAAACAACGATCTTGAGGGCCATTAGGTACAGTTCACAGCCCTGCCCCTCTCAACCTGACCTAGACTTCTCTAGTTTCTGAGCTATACGCCCGCGAAGGTGTTCAAACTATTTCGGGAGACTGTTTTAAAGTCAGCCAGGCATCCATGGCCCCAAAGTAACATCACTGAAATTCTGTCGTCCCTTTGTCCATTTGGTAATGGCGGCCGAGAAAATATAAGTGTCGAGCCGTTCATATCTGGCGCTCTGGAGCACGATTTCCAGATAAAGTGACCTATAGATGGCTCCCAATCAGTGCCGTGCGAGGTATGACGACGCAATCCAACAATGGTGTAGTGAGGCACATCTTTGCTAAAAAGAGATTGTGTTGTCTAGATCAGTGCTTTTCACTTAAAAGGACACCAATAGTTTTAAGTGAGATTATTCCATCGTATTTGATGTTTGCTTCAATATCTTCAGATGTGCAACGTTCCCTTAAAAGAACGATGCTCCATACGGTTGTTTTTTTAGGGGGGGGGGGGAGGGCGGCGTGTTTTTTCCCGGATTTTTTATGTACCCATTATGCGCGGGCGATGCGACCGAATTCTGTGCACCGGTGTGGTATGGAGGGATGGGGGGGGGGGGGCGGGGGGGGGGGGGGGTGAGGGAATAGCAATCGGACAGAGTTTCCTGCGTGTTTAAAGGATGACACTCCATTTGGTTGATGAGTATTTGGAGTTTGGGGAAATCTGCACCACAATGGTTTGCCGCGCATCGGTCCGACAAACGTCATGAGGTGATCGTCGAGGGAAACACTATGGGAAACGATTGGAAACTGGTGACATCCGGCGTGCCGGAAGCATCACTTTTGCCCCCCCCCCCCTCCCCTTTTGCTGTGTGTTTGACATTTTCCGTGCGTCATGGAGTCCGGCGGCGTTTCATATGTCAATGACCTAACAGCTTTCCGTAAAATTACCCTTTCGGCCAACGGCCTGCTGCTACAGAATCATCTTGATTATCTGGTAGTAAGGTCGTTCAGGTGGGGTCTGCCCCTCAGTCGTGTGCAACGTAAAACACTCACAATGACCCTCAGGCGTGTTTCCGTCCAGACCAAGTATTTCATCGATGGAGCTGAGCTTGAGCAACAAGAGACCCTGGGGTAGCATGGGATAAAACGAACTTTCGCTTCACATGTCCCTGACATAGTCAGTAGGGGCAATCGAGCATTTGGTCTCCTTACTCGGCCCTTCCAAGTCGGTAGCAATAGGTCCAAATTCAACCGAAGCGCAGCGATGGCTGCGTGTTTTGCAAACGTGCGATCGGTTTTAGAATATAGTGGCGTTGTCTGGAGGGGTACGGCCAGCGCAAGTCAATCGAGTGCAGCACAAGAGTCTCTTTTCGTTACTTACTCACGCATCCTCCGGGAAAGCAGCTTCTCTTTCTTATGACAGCCTTCTGCAGCACTTCAAAGTCCCGTCAATAGCAGCACGAAGAGTGCAGCATGATTTTCCCTTTCTGAGAAACGTCTTCCAACGCAAACTGGACTCTCAAATCTTGTTAAGCTGCTTCCCCTTGCTTGTGCCGTCTCGATCGACCCGTGCCGGAATTCTGCACGCTATATCTCGCGCTCGTATGCAGACAGTACAGAGTAGTCTGCTTTTTTTAGACCGCCAAGCGTTGGGAACGCTTTTTTAGCTAGCAGCACTAGCGTGGGTATCTCTCATGACAGTTTGGTTAACAGTTTAGTTTGATTTGGTTGTGTTGACTCACAACGGTGTTAGCATTTTCGGGGTTCAAGTGGTCAAGTATGTTTTAGCTTTGTAGTATCTTCACTTGGCTTTGAGATACGTTACCCTTTAATTGTGCCCATTCTGTTGTGCGCTGTGCATTTAATATATTTTATTTAAACGACTTCACCTGTTAGTGGAGTGCTGCACTGTTGGCGATAAAAGAAAATAGATAAATAAGGAAGATATTTTACGTTAGTTTGTAGCAAGTAGCGCCGGTTCTGATTTCTGGTGTCTGGCCTGAGAGAAGTTGCAGGCCAAATAGATGTTATAGATCAAATAATTACTCGGACTGTCGTCTTCGTGTGCTGAAGGCACTTACTCGTTTTAGCTACGTTTTACTTTACTTTGCACTTACGTTTCGGCCAGATCATTGTCTGGGCGTCGCGAGGTGTTAATCAACAACTGAAAAGGACCAGACCATGTTTGGCGTGGCCGTCTTGATCGACCGTGCCCGCTCATTTACACGTCGCAGCACGAATTCTCGTCATGGCACTGCCCAGATTCGAACTGAGCGTCTTCTTACTGCGAGCCTGTCAGCATGCCATCCGGATAACCGGGAGGGATCGCTAAGCTCTCGCTCAGCCTAGCGTTAGAATGCTGACTCGCAATCAGAAGAACCCGGTTTGAGCCCCAGCAATTCTACGCAGGAAGTGCGGGTTGTGACACGTGCATGGCGGGAAGTTGCACGTCATCCACAGCCATAATCTGTTCCAGTCCTCAGGATTTACTAGCAGTTGGCGACGGCCGGAGGATAAGCTTTCAGAAACACTTGATGGATACTAACACACCAGACGAGGACGATGGGTCGAATCTCAATAATTCCGCACAACTGCGGAGGAGTCTCACTCGACCGGAAAGTGAGTGCTCCACATTTGTGTGGCGTTTTGAACTGAAATAGCCATCTCGAAGATCATTCGGTGCAATTCATAGCCCTGTCCTTATCAAAACCTAAACCCCTCTAGATTCTGAGCCACACGGCCACAAAGCTGATCAGACTTCATTGAGGAGATCATTTCAAGGTCACCCGGTCGTCCATGACGCCATAATGACGTCGTTTAAATCCTGTCATTCCATTAGTCATGTGCCAATCGAGGCCAGGGAAAATATAATTGTCGAGTCATTCATAGCTGGCTTGCATGAGCAAGATCTAACGGCCGTTAATGGGCGTTCAATTACTGTTGTGCAAGGTACAATGACTCAATCAAACAATGGCTTAGTGAGGAGCATATTTACTAAACAAAGAAATTGTGTTGTCTAGAACAGCCTGGTCCACTGAAAAGTATACTGAAAGGTAAAAGTGAACGTATTTCATCATTGCTGATGCTTGTTTTAATACGCGCAAGTGTGGAACACGTCTTTAGGAGTTACATCTCAATTTGAGTGGCCCGGCCGGGCCCAGCCTAGCCGTCCCGCTAATCAAAGCTGTGTTCTCAGCAATATTTCACGAAAGCCAAACATCAATCTCCTCTGCGGATTAGCATGGCAGGTGTCAAATGACCAATTGCAGTAAAGCTGCAGAACAGGTTTTAGCGGGAAGTCTGGCCGCTTCCGTCTCGACAGCGTCCCACGTCGAAGAAAGCGGTTTTTTCTGGTAACAAGGTGTCGTCTCACCTGTGAAAACTCCCCTGGGCGGCGTTGACTCAGCCGCGTCCCTGATGCTTCTTGGTACGCGAGACGATCTCCATCGGACGGTTTGCCGCGTGATTAACGCCTAGCACACCGCGCTGCGAGCTAAGAATGCCGCGGCATGCGGCAGTCGCGCCCGCCCGTTGGGTGCTGTCAGCCCTGTAAGCCACGGTCTGGTGGCGGACTCGACCATTGGCGCCACGGTCCAGAAATAGACCCGGGCTTTCCAGGCTGCAGGTCCCGGCGTGCTCGTCTCGGTGTCCAGCTGTCACGCTGGCGCGTTACGAGCGCGATTATTGACCTAGGTCACTGGATGTGTGAAAAGGCCCTAGTCCCTGTGTCACGGTTGCGCCGTTAGCGGATTACAAGCGGTAGCTGCTCGGCTCTCCGTCCCGCCATCGCAGAATTGTCCTGTGTGTGTGGTAGGGATTCAACAGATGATGTTTAGGGGGGTTGTGGATTGTTGGTAACCGCCGCTGTCTGTCTGCAACATGGTCGCCCTGCTGGGGCCGCGTAAGCCGTGCTTTGTTCGTCACGATTTGCGACGTTCTCCGTCCGTGCAGGTTGACAAAAGATCACCTGATAATACAGGTTTTGGTGTGGTGTCTTGGTCCGCTGGCGGGCACCCATGTTAACCACCAACTCTCCTCTCGTCCCCCCCCCCCCCCGTGCTGCAATCCGCTTCATCATGCGATGTCCGGTCTGTGTTTTCAAGCTTCAGTGAAGGCCACCTGTGGCGTCCCATTAGCCAGCCTGACGCAGCCTTTTTCACGGCATGGTGTCGGCCGTGCCGAGAGCTGCGACGCGCTTCTGAGCCTTCTCTTCTCCTGCCCTCCTGCCCGGGCTGGGAGCTCGATCCAACTGCTGTCTTGCGCTCCAAGTTCGCTCTTGTTACCTTTAAAGTTGCCAGCTTGTGCCGTCAGGCTGCGTCGTCCGTTCTATGCTATGAGGGCTCGCTGCCTTTCTCCATGTTGTCCGTTTTGTCCGCCAGGTGATGCCGGTGCGATGACCCGGGCTTCTGTCCTGTTCTCAGGTTGCTGGTGTGCTCGCCAGGTGACGCCCATTCCGTAAGATGTCCTGACCTACCGTGGCCCTGTTTCAGGCCGCTAGTCTGCCCGCCAGCTGGCGTCCATGTCCGCGCCCTGACCTGCCGTCCTGCCTCAGACCGCTGGTCTGCCCGCCAGCTGGCGTCCATGTCCGCGCCCTGACCTGCCGTCCTGCTTCAGAGCGCTGGTCTGCCCGCCAGCCGGCGTCCATGTCCGCGCCCTGACCTGCCGTCCTGCTTCAGACCGCTAGCCTGCCCGCCAGCCGGCGTCCATGTCCGCGCCCTGACCTGCCGTCCTGCTTCAGACCGCTGGTCTGCCCGCCAGCCGGCGTCCATGTCCGCGCCCTGACCTGCCGTCCCGTTCCAGGTCGGGAGTTCGGCACGGAGACCATCACGGTGGCTACCGACTTCAGCCACGGCAGGGACGTGTATGAGCGCATCGCTGAGAAGACGCGTGACCTCGACATCGGCATCCTGGGTCAGTGCGGCGACACTGGGGTCTGCCGGTCACGCGCCGGGCGACGCTGGGGTCTGCCGGTCACGCGCCGGGCGGCACCGGGGTCTGCCGGTCACGTGCCGGGCGACACTGGGGTCTGCCGGTCACGCGCCGGGCGACACTGGGGTCCGCCGGTCACGCGCCGGGCGACACTGGGGTCCGCCGGTCACGCGCCGGGCGACACTGGGGTCTGCCGGTCACGCGCCCGCTCGTCAGCGCCAGAACCAGACCCTCGTAGACGGCCGCCTCCGCTAAGAGGCCTGAACCGCATTGTAGTCGATGAGCATGCACTCGAGTGTGGGGCTTGAAAACAGGATAGGGTATCATGTGTCGGTAGAGCTGCAGCCTTGGTTGCACCTTTGTGTGCGGCCAAGACGCACGGCCATCCACGCTACCGACATATTTGTCTGTAGATACTTCAGAGCTAGCTGCGATGAGTAAGGCACTATGCTTTATGCAGGTGGACGAAGACGCCTTGCACTAGATTTTCTCAGCCTCGTTAAGAAGTCTTCCGGCATTAATACGTTTGAATTCCACACGTCTCCTTATACGGAGTATTTTAGTACGTATTGATTCTTTATATCAAGCCGAGAAGAGCATTACATTGTGCTGGACCCCAAGCCACGTAAGAATCACGGGAATGAGCTTGCTGCCGCCACCGCAAAGCGTGCTACGCTTCGTCCATGAACAATAGTGTATCCAATACTTGTTACAGACTTGTGTTACGTGGGATGTGGTAGTGACCAACAAACTGAAAATAATAAAGCCGGTCATCCAGAAATGGCAGTCATCCTATCGGAAGTCAAGGCGGGAGGAAATAATTCTACGTCGCTTGCGGATCGAACATGCTCATGCCGTCCACAGCTACCTTTCATGTCGCGGCGAATCGCCTTGGTGCCACCAATGTAATGTAACGCTCACTGTGAGTCATGTGGAGTAAGCGTTGCGTCTCTTATCCAGCATTACGTGGTGAGCGCCTGCGGTACTTCGGCTCGACTGCACCGTCTCGCTGCTCTCCGATTTACTCAGAAATGACTCAGCACTCGTCGAACATCTGTTCGAATCCCTGTCGCGTGTTAACTTTTGCTCTGTACATATGCACCGACCCAGATTGTTCGCGGCACATGATGGGCTTCTTTGAAGTTTTCGATTAGCTTTGGTTAGGACATGCGTTGTGGGTGCTCTATGACCGTGCAGTCAAAGCGCCATGAAGCCGTAATTGCTGCTACTAAAATTCGCCCCTCCCCCGTGACGGATTTTTTTCTGAATATTTTCCCAGCGGCGCGGTGTAGCCACGCCAAACGTTGCACAGCTGTAAGCAATTGAACAGCGGATCTTTTGGCATAAAAGATAGGGTGCATCTTGTAAGATCGCTACTTATAGCGGGCCGAAGCCAGGCCGTGGCGAAGGCAATTTCAAAGGAATCGTACAATCTGATACGACAGCGTAGTGTTTGATGAAGTCATACGTATGTGAGACAGTCTCTTGGGTAATAACACAACTGAATTTAGAATGACCAAAATCCCATGGACCTACTAGGAGCCTCAAATGTTAACCCAATGACTTCACATGCAGACTTACCCACCCTATGAATTTGATGTCTAGCCTTTTTAGTTTCTGAAATCTCAGGGGTCAAATTGACCCCCTAGGAGCGAAGGCTATTCAACCTGCCACCCGGGCACATTTAAGCCGCCCTTTGTCGTTACGCGATCGTTAGCCATTATTTCGGCATCTTTTCGGTGGGCGTGTTGTCCACCATCGCAGCGGTCCAAGCCATGGTGTTTTAAGCGGTGGGCTTCCCGAAGAGGCATCCCTTAACTGTCCGCTAGGCGGGTGGTGCCATGACTGGCTCGTGCTGGGCAGCGTCGCGTGCGGTGCCCCTCCCCGCCGCCGCTTCCCACACCGCAGACGTCGCAGTTGTCCCGCTCCCATAACGTCCCTCCCGTCCGCGGCTTAACTTCCTACACCATCTCGACCTTGGCCGTCTGCCAGTGGCAAGCCTTCTTCGCGTGATGTGGGATTTTGGGCGAAAATGACCACAACGGATGGCACTCCCGGAAGCCCCTCGCATAGCTTCATGACTGGTGACTGACATGGGGCCCGATGTTTTCGCATTGCCGTGGCTTCACTGACCAGTGGGCCGTCGGCAGTGAACAACGTTGGCGTCATGCTGGACTACCCGATGCCACACGGCGACGTTCCGGAGGAGTCCATCTGGCGGCACGTGCTGGTGAACGTGGCGCCGGCTGCGGTGCTCAGCCGGCTCCTTCTGCCGGGCATGGTGGCGCGAGGCCGGGGCGCCGTTGTCAACCTGTCCTCCAGCTCGGCCATCGGGCCGATGCCCTACATGAACATCTACTCGGCCTCGAAGGTGTGCGCCAGTGGGGAGGGGGGGGGGGGTCGAATAAAGATCGCAGGTGCCGAGGGAGGGAGGGGGGGGGGGGAAGTGGAAGGCCACCGTGTGGCGTAGACCGATTGTGAACGACTTTTAAAACCTGTTAGGTTTTCAGCTAAAGGATTGGATTTGTATTAAGAAGCTGTTTTTAAGACTTTAAGGCCTTAAAAACGGCCCCTATTACTAAGCTGCTCATCGCGGAAAATGAATATCTGAAGGCCAACCGCACGCCTTTGCTCTCTCCTCCTCTCTCTCTCTCTCTCTCTCCTCTCTCTCTCTCTCTCTCTCTCTCTCCACTCTTCTCCTCCTCCTCTCTCTCTCTCCCTCCTCTCTCTCATCCCTCTCTCCTTCTCACTTCTCTCGTCCATCCTCTCTCTCTCCACCTCTCACCTCATCTCCTCTCTCCTCCTCTCTCCTCATCTCCTTCTCTTCTCTCTCTCTCTCTCTCTCTCTCTCTCGTCTCTCTCTCTCCCTCTCTCGCTCTGGCCTCTGGCCCTGGCCCTGGCTCTCTGACTGAGTCTCTGAGTGAGACTGATGGGATCTCGGCAGAAATTCCTCGAGTTTTTCTCGCGCGGGCTGGCCGCCGAGTACCGGCCGCACGGCATCACGGTGCAGACAGTGATGCCGTTCTACATCGCCACCAACATGACGTCCTACTCGGACAAGATCGGACGCACCAGCATGCTGGTACCGGACGCGGCAACGTTCGCCGACAGCTGCGTGCGCACTCTGGGTCGTCTGGAGTCGACCACCGGCTACTGGACGCACGAGCTGCAGGTGAGGCCCGGCTGGAGGAGCGCGGGCGGGGGACGTTGTGGTAGCGGGGTGCTTCTGTTGCGTGGTGACGCGTACCGGCAGCGATTAGCGTTTTAAGTCTTTCGCGGACTGCAGGGAAAAACCGGAACGCGGCCGGTCACCAGCCAAACTGTCGGCCATTTGGCCGTGAAATGTGCGCTCCACGACAGAGGTCATTGCCCAGAGGTCATTTTACGGCTGACTGCAACCTGGGTGACATCCGCGGCGGCCGGGCCTGACACGGCCTGGGCCGCACGTGATCAGAGTGGCTTTGTGGCGTGTTGTATTCTTTGCGTAGTGCTCTTCCCCATGGTATACCCGTAAACCATGTATCAGTTACACTCACTGGGACCTAAATCCACTTCTACGGTCGCCACTACTATGCATACGTGCAGATGTACATTGGTCTCGCCGCGTATTGGCTAATAAGGAATATTGCCAACATGGAGAAGTCTCGCTGGCCCAATTGCGTTACTTCATGCTGATGATGGATGTTGTAATCAACGTTGTGACACCGTTCGATCCCAACGTTGCATCAGCAGGTACCTGTGTCTGCTTGCACACCTAATATAGCCTCATCATGCTTCGCTGCATTTGACCTGGCTGCAGTGGCATATTGCCGGATGCCAGTAATAATAGATAATGGATCCATTCTTAACCTGCGCTTTAGGGTGTCCCAGCTAGAGACCGTTTTGGAAATTATGGTTGCCCGGGGTTGGTCTGGCTCTCCAATTCAAGGCCGGTTCAGTATTGGCGTTTTTGTCGAAACTCACGCATGTTTAAGAGTGCGCAGAGGCTAGGACATGGATTATATTTTTCGCTCTGAGAACCCAGAGGGCTCTTTAAGAAAGAGATGTACATTAACATGATGTTGATGCTTGCAAGAGTCACTAGCGCTCATTTACTGTGCTGATTCCGCACAATTTGACGTGCTGATGTGTCATTTGAGGAAGAGGGGAAAGATGTAAATAAGAAGGGGAGGGGGCATCAATGCCCTAAAAACGAAACTGTTTAAAACTGCGCGGACGTGGGTAGCAAACGTATGCTTGCTGTGGTAGTGACTCGGATAATGCGTGTGTAAATGTGTTGTGAGCGCGTTGGACATGACTATGGCCTCATATTACTGCCCATTTTTCCTTCCCGCTCTCCGTTTCATCTCGACCAGGAGAAAGGAAGTAGTGGAGTAACGTGAAATAAGAATGCATGTCCAAGCAAACCCGGGTGTAATATAATTACTGCACCAAAAAATTGTAATGAACGTGTGTTACATTGCATGTCGCTGCGCACTGAAAGATGCCCAGTGAACGCCTGCTCAAAGAGCTGATGTTCTACCGGTGGGCTTCCACCCCCTGTGGAGGCCACTACAGCTAACTGCTGCCCCGCCGCTTATGATGCCTGCAAATATGCCAATCCCTGATACGTCCCTCGCGGCAAAATCATTTGCAGCCTTTTGACGCATCTCTTAATTACGGTGAAATAGACACCAGCCGTTGGGTACCTATTCATCGACTTGCTTGCTTATCCATCAGGTAGCATCGACCTGGATGAGCTGAAATGCTAGCCAACGACACTGATCTGCCAGATTTGACAGCTCTGTCTCATTTGACTAACGGTGCAGCATCCTCAAGACATTTTCCACAGGCATAGACAGCAGCGTCGAAGCCATTACTGCCGCTTCATTATTGCTGGCGTCACCCGAAACCAGACTGAACATGATCGTCTCGGATCTCAGGCCAAGTCGTTACGCGCATGGTGACCAACGCTGTCCCATCCACAGCTTGTTAAGCATCCGGCAGTGCAGCAGGTTCTGGCACAACCTCAGGTCTTTCCTGGGGGCGGCAGCGGGCAGTTTATCCGCGTGGCTGTCTTCCCCGGTGTCCGCTGGCGCTCTTAGGAATGACCTGAAGACGTATCAGGACCTGCTGCATTGCCAGACGGTTGGGAAGCCTGCGGTTGGATCCTCCTCAACTGTTCCGCGCAGCGACGCTTGGCCCATTTGAGGCCCGAGGTGGTCGTGTTCCGCCTGGTTTTGGGCGACGTCAGTGCTGATAAAAATACAGCCATGGCTTTGACGTTGTTGTCTTTGCCAGTGGCGAAATCTTTTAAAGATACTGTAACATTTACCCACTCAGAGATAAAATTGTTGGATTTATGTTACGCCCTCTTGGCTGTTGCTACAGGTTATTCAGATCGGATCTAGTCGTTGGCTAAACGAAGAGAATGAATGGGTGGTAAGCCAACAACGGCTATCTGTTTGATCGTAATTTTGAGAGGCGTGCAAAAGCTATACATGATTTCGCAGAGAAGGGCGTTAAGGATCGATACTTTGGCAGACATTGTAGCGTGCACCAGGGACACTTCGCTGCTAAGTAACGTCGCTGCTAAGTAACGTATGATATGAGATGGGTTCATAAACATTATTTTTACGGACTAATGATGTGATGTGAAACTCTGCTTGTCGTGGTGGAGGTCGAAAAGAGGACAGAGAAATCGAAGTGAAGTCAGAAGGAGAAGAGAGATGTTCAATGAGCTTGCACCCTATTTGTATACACATCACCTAGCGTGCGTGTCTGGGAAACCAGAGTTACGGGGTTCGACTCCCCTCGGTGCCCACCCTTCCTACCCGGGCGATAGGCAAGCGATGCCGCGAAACCTCAGGAGCTGAGTGCGTCGTAAAGCCCCAATGATTACAGAGCCTCTTTCGTCGCAAGGATTCGCTTAATACCAATTTCGTCGTAGTTTAAACTTGTCATTTTAAGCGTGCTGCCCACTCACTCCACACCCTCCCTTCCTCCAAGTGTAATTAGTGTTCGCTCAAGTGGCTCACCAGCCGGGTACTTCTATTAGCCATGTGAATCGGTTTGATAAGAGGGCCGACTAAGGGCTTTGCTGCAGGCGTCCAAGTCGACGTTAATGTCCATCTCTTTAACGCCCTGCGGGCTACCCAAGACTGAAAATGGGTTAAGATGACCGAACTTAGAGCTCTGTGCACCCCCTAAACATGGATGAATTTTGACAAAAATGGCGCCACTGAACTGGCCTTGAATCAGAGAGCTGGGCTTGCTCTGAGCAGCCATACTTTTCCCAGCAAATTGTATTCCGGGACATTCCACTGGACATGGTTGGTAGCGATTCTGTGATGCTGGTCTCGGTCCCTGTGCTTTAAGTGTGCCAGATGAACTTCTTGCAGGTGGACTTTTGTCACATATCATGTTCACTGTCATGCCGTGTCATATATACCGTCGCATCAGCCCAGCCTTACCCTGCTTAACGCCGTAAGAAATTACTGCATCCGCATTTCCGGAAAATGAACAAAAGTTGTTACGTGCGTCGAAGGTTATTGTACGGAATAAGGTTATTGTCTTATCGAAATGAACATAGGCATAACATCGGTGGATGCTGTCTGTTGTGACGAATTTTGTGTATTTTTAGCACGTGTTGCTGACGTCCCACGAGGGGGATGCACCTGGCCTGCTGTCGGGGGCGAGGGGGGGGGGGTACATTTGCCGACTGTCAGAAGACTTGCTCAGATAACCAGCGTTGTGCCTTCGCAGTATTACGCGTGCTCCAACGTGCCGTCGTGGGTGTGGCTGACCTTGGGCGAGAAGCTGCAGAAGGAGCTGCGTCAAGACGCGCTCCTCAAGCAGAAGCACGCCTAGACGCGCTCCGGCGCCGCAAGGCCCTCCCTCCCCCCTGCCCTGCAAGAGGACAATGACTGGCCGGCAGCGGGGGCCGCCTCGGACTCGGCCGCCCGCGCGGACTCTCGGCAGCTGCTGTAACGCGGCGGGCGCGATTGGCCGGAGGTCGTTAGCCCGCCTTGCACCGGCAACCGGCCGGTTTGGAAGAGAGTCGTGACACAGTTGTGGTGCTGCCCTGACGAGTCCGGCGCGCGCGCCGCTGCGTCCTGCTGCGCCACGGCGTCGCGGCCGCCACACGAAGAGACAAGGTTATCGAATGCTAGTTACCAGCTGCGGGGTGTGGCGCCTTCCAAATCGGTCAGCTGTGGAACAGTTAACCTGATTTGCATGGGTTACACACGTACGATGACTCATGACACTTAGGCACCGCGTAGATCCGACCAAAATACTGTGCTGGAACAGCACCACTGCAGTCGTCCTGCGCTATGCTGTATCTCAAATTACGTGTTACTCATGTGATTTCACTATGCTAATAAACTATTGAACTGCCACGCACATTGCCGCCTTTCGTTGCAGCCGGGGCGTGGGCTGCAGGACGGTGTGGTGCTCGCCGGCTCTTGCGGCACGTGCCCGTCCTGCAGTTTAGTCTGATTTTGCAGCGACCGAGCCGGCCGATGGGGCAGCCGTAGCGCCTGGCGCCGGCCGGCCTCCAAGGCAACGGCGCCGCCGGCTGCCTGACTGTCTCGTAATGGCACACAATGGCGAGCGTGGTGCGTCTAGGTACTACAGATAGGCCATTTCGTTCGGTGGAGATTGCGGCAGTTTCAATACAGTTACCGTGCAGGCTTTGGGCATAGTAACTATGATCGTTGGGTGGTTCGGATCGCAGGGCTCGTTCTGCTGCACCAGTGAAAGTGTGTCGCGTCTCCACCGCGTGGAGTTCAGCGGCTTAGAGCTCCAGGCAGCCATGTTGCAAGTGACTGTCGTCGTTCATCAGAATTGTAGCGCTATCCTCTGTACAGATAAGATGGTCGAAAATGAGCGTTATCGTCATGCAGTGAACGTGCGGAAATGAACTCAAATGCCGGTGGCGCGGGCGTCACGTGCAGTGCCACCGTTCTGCTCTCATTGAACGTTGCAGTGTATGTTGCCTTTGGCTGCACTCGATTATGAGCTTACTGGTCGCCCATCCGTTCTCGCTACGTTGATACCACCAGTTTGAATAAATACTGAAGCGAATGGGTGTGCTGTCATCCTCCAACACCGGGTGAACTTCATTTACATCCGTCGTTTTAGTCACGACGCAACACCAAGACCAGAGCAACATAGCCTTAATAGAAACGCTGCGGCATAACGCCGGTGGCACGCTTCACCTTGGGCGGCTGAACCCGTAAGTCCGGTCGGTTTAGTAACGTTGCATGGGAATGACTGGAATGTCAGCGTGCCCGACACACGTCTTACCCTGTGATTGAGTGTCACTGGGTTTGGGGAAGCTAGTAAATAGGTGAACGCGAGCAGTCTGGTCGCTACTGGGGCTTTATGACGCACTCAGTGACTGAGACTGTATGGTGTCGCCTGCTTTTCGCCCCGCAGGAATGGCAGATGACGCGGGGAATTGAACCGCCTGCCTCCGGCCTCCCGGACGCGTAGCCTAATCTTTGTGGCTTCCCAGATGCGCAGCTTAATCTCTGCATTATCGACTTTCCCATTTTGGTTCCTATTGCAATGTCTGCAATCATCCCAGAACGCCTCCGCGTATTAAAAATCTTCTAATGGTCTTATACTCGGAAATCCTGGTGAGCTAAACGGGGGAAGACAGAGCAGCATAAGCTTTCAACGCCGCGTGTTGCTGCGTTGATTACACAGCAAAAAGGTTCTACCGTTTATACCGTTTGAGAATAAACAGCGAAGATCACACCTGGCTTGAAGTTTGCGTTAGTCGGCACGTTCTGATGAGAACACATGACATAATAGTGTATGGCAGCTATATTTACGAAATTGCGAAGCGTTTGGCGAAGGCACTCACGCCACTGTAGAGACCAAAAGTCTCCTTGCGTTGCACCGTTATGGGGCACGCCGTCATGTGGTGTATGAGTATGAGCGTTTCCTTGTTTCTAAAACGAAGACCATGACAGAAAATTTCATGAAACGCGTGCGATGCTTTTTCGACAACGTATGTGATCACTAATCAACCCAAAACATATTTGGAAACTAGTCGTTGTCCGCTAGTTTCTGCCGGATGTTTGTAATTGGAGGTCAAGGGAGACTGGTAAAGTTTGTTGCACAACATCGGAGATAACGTAAGTTTAACCTACTTTAGAGGTGAAAGTGGAAGCCCAGCCTCGGAAAAGACTGGCTAATATCCTCAGCTAGTTAAGCACCGTAAAATTTAAACGGTGAGGCTGGATTATAACCATGGTATAAGCTGGATCGCTCGCGAGACTACCACCCAATCTTCATCCAGGCAGCTTGTTGTTAACGGAACGCGCTCAGCCGTCGGCCCGCGAGCCGCAGCGACCACCGCAGCGAGTCCGCTTGACCAACCAGACATACGTAAGAGCTGAAAGCAGACGTTGCGAAATAAGGAGGCTCGGTGCAGGCGCATGCATTGCGCAGGCTCCGATCTCAGCTGATGCCCCTCCCCAGTGAACGAGCGCTGGTCGCGGCTGGGTCATGATGCACGGGGCGCCTTGGCCGACCAGAGAACAGACCGGGGCCTCGGCGGGCCAGTGCATATAGGGTGCGGCCAGCACCGCTGGCTGCACAGTGGCACGTATACCACGCGATCACAAGCCTCTTACGAAATATATGTGATCGGGTAATGCTGCTCGGCATACCAAATGAACTTTTCCCCCATTAGAGGCGTCCTCTGGAGCCAGCGCCGGGCGCACCAAAACCGAGGCGTCGTCGGGTCCTGATTTATTGCAGTAAATCCAACGCGACCGCGGCCGGCGCGCTTGCACGGAAGTATGTACAGCAGAGGAGCGGAGCGGCGGCGGGACGGGCCGGGTCCGACCGGCCGCCTCCCGCGCCGCCGCCTCTGCTGATGAGCACCCTGGGTTCGGACGGAGGTCAACAACAAGCAGGTGAAGCGCGCGGCGCGCCGGCGGCAGGCCGCGAACCCAGCTGACCTGGCCGGCACCGGCATTTATCGCTAAACAGCTGACACATCGCACCGCACCGAGGATAGCGGCATCGCTGCTGGACTCACATGCGCAGCGGACCAGTCGTACGCACGTAACCCGTGACAGTGAGCAAGATTATTGGCAGCGTGAGGACGACTTAAAGTAAACCGCTTAAATCTAGTAACATTGGTCGGCTGCGTTTCGTAGGCATGCGCTCCGTTTCTCAACAAGGATTTCTCTCCACTTTCAACTCTGAGCAGAAAACGAAGCACGCGGCGCATTCCGCGCGGACGACCGCCAGATGCCGCCACAACTCTGGCTCCAGCTTTTCCTGACGGTTTTCGCCGCTCCCAACTCTCAGCACTTCGGCCGCTGATTCCCATGAGCCGTGCCATGCCGTGCCGCACGTGCCATGCACTCCCCTGCGCTCTTCAACAGCACACCTGAAGCACCGCATAGCCCACGCTGTCCTCTTGCGCCGTCCCATACCGGGAAGTAGAAGCCTCTCTCACACGCGAGCACCACCACATGCATTCATCGCAGCCCGGCTCCCGTCATTGGGGCCGGTTTTGATTTCGCACTCTTGAGCTCAGAAGACCGCCCCCGGCGTGAAGCGGGCCTCAGGGAGTCGTCCTCGGCCCCAGCTGGCCTCCCAGTTTGTCGTGGCTGAGGGATGGGACGCAGTGTCTGCCCGCGTGCGAGCCGCGAGGCACGCGGCAAACGGACCACAGTTTCACGTTCCTTCAATTTATGTTCTTGGACTAGTGCGTGCACATACCCCTCCGGTGCAGACATGTGGGCGTGTTTGTGTGTGTCTGCGAACTGTTTGCGTCGATGCGTTCGCGTTTCTGCGATGCTAGGCCGGTGTCGGAGAGAGTGTATGTGCGTTCTGAGAGCGTTGTCTGCGTGTGATGGCGATAATTCGGTGTGTGTGTGAGTGCGCATGTGCGTGCGTGCGTGTCTGTGCGTGCGTGTGTGTGTATGTATTTGTGTGTGTATGCATGTGTGTGTGTGTGCGCGCGCGCGTGTGTGTGCGCGTTTGTGCGTGTGTGTGTGCGCGTGCTCGCCTGTGTAAATGATGTGCCGGCATCGTGTGTGCGAGTGCGTGTGCGTTGCTGTCGGCACCGCGGGGGCTGCTGGCCGAGCGGGGCGTTGAACTAGCTGGTCAGGGGCGCGACGATGGCTGGCAGCAGGCTGCGCAGCATCGCCAGCAGCGACGACCACAGCGCGCGCGCCGTGTCTGAACGGTTCAGGATGGCCCGCCACGTGAGGAGGAAGAACAGCAGCCGGCAGCCCTCCTGCACGTAGTACATCCTGCGCGACAGAGCCAGCAGTCACCGACCGATACGGAGCACGCAGGGTGGCCGGCAGTTAAAAGCATAACGTGCGAACACGAGCCAGCTTCGCTGCGGCCGAAAGCCAACAGGAAGACCCGCCGCCGTGTTCGATGTTCTCACGGGTTACGGTCTCTTGCAAGGCGTGTTCGAACCACATCACAGCGGCGTCTAACAGGACAACCAAAATACACAGCTGCGGTCGGGAGGTACCTGCGCAAGTGACGACGCGAGCGCTCCATGTCGTCGTCCTCCTTCAGTATGAAGCGCCTCACTCCGATGCAGTAGATGGCGAGGTACTTCTTCCAGTCCAGATCCTGGGAGCGAGCGCAGCAAAGGTGGGTCTCCCGGTAGCCGGCACATAAACGGCGCAGTGGACAGAGTGGCCCCAGCTGACGCTCAATCCCAGCTGGACTGAACCGGGGCGGGCAAAAACAGAGGAGCAGGCCGGAACAAACCGGACAGTGGGATGCTGCAAGGCCGGATGTTGCACGAAACATGCGCTCAGCGCCACATGCCACTCACGACCAGGCTCTACATAAGCAACCAGACGGCATGCCGGCACGTTCGCTGCTAGATGGGAGCTGCTACCGGCAAGGCGCGGCGTCCACTAACCTTCAGATCGAAGTGGAACTCCTCCTTGTCATGCTCGGACATCTGGTCGAGCAGGGCCAGCACATTGTTGGACTTGAAGGTCCACTGGTGCGTGGTGAAGTAGGTCAGGCACTCCGCGGCCTTCAGCATGCGCTTGTGGATTCGCACTAGCCTGTGGAGGTCGAGGGCGGCCTCTGAGCCACCTATTGATACTCCGACTCGGCTGCGCAAAACGCATTGTGGCACGTCGTAGCGATTACACGGCTGTATCAAACGACATCAGCTGCTTGCTGATGGTGATGGAAGTGCTATCATTCTCCCTAGTGCACAGGCAGACTGCTATCACGCTTTCCGGTGCACGGGCAGGCTGCTATCACACTGCCCGGTGCACGGGCAGACTGCTGCCATGCTCCCCGGTGCACGGGCAGACTGTAATCATGCCCCCGGTGAACGGACAGACTGCTGTCATACTCTCCGGCGCACGGGCAGACTTCACTGCTGACGCCGAAAGCAAGGAATTGCTGGCGACCTTGGATGCTTCTTTGTTTACTCTTTCCAAAGAATCTAGTGAAAATCTAAGGATCTCGTATGACCGGTATAGCCCTACCGGGAGATCGTTCTTCCACTTGTTTTCAGAAAGCCACAAACCACAGGCACACGGACAGGGTGGAGGCATGAGTTAGCACAACACTGATCCGCGATGCACGGACATCCCGGCTCTAGGGGTGGCGCCAGCAGCTTTTCATCGTCAATGACGCTCTTAAGTTCAAAGTGGCTTTTCTGACATCGACACAAAAACACAAACCGCGAGCGCCGAAATGCACTTTCCCTCTCAACGCGCCCACATCCCGCCTGTGGTATCGCGCATTTCGTCCGAGCAGTACTTACAGCGGCTTCTTGCCCATCATCATGATGACTGCGTCGAGGATGTAGGCCGGGATGAAGTGGCACACGACCACCCAGAACTTGTTGGAGAGGGGCGAGCTGGTGAAACTGCCGCCCGGGTACCAGAGCACGTTGCACATGGGGTTCTGGCGCAGCTCCCGCACGCCCCAGTCGCGCACCTCGCGCCATCGGATCGGCTGAATCGTCCCCGACGCGCAGTTGTAAACGATGGGCTGGCGCGGGCTGCGAACACACGAGCGGCGAGGAGGGGTGAGCGTCCCGGCCGACACGCTGACCGCCCGCGCGGCCCGCCGCGTCCCAGGCGCCGGACGGGGCGAAGCGGGTGGGAGCGGCTGGTGACACGCGCGGTGGCCAAGTGTGGCCGTACATCCAGTAAGCTGCGGGTGGTGATGTCGATCGATGAACGATTGGGCATGACTTCGAAGGACACTGGTACTTGAGTGACGTGGCTCAGGCAGCACGGGGGCGGAGTCGATCTTACTTAGATAGAGGCTGGCTGCTTTTGAAATCTTGGCATTAGAACGATGCAATGGAGACCTCGGTACGGACGTATCATGCGCGTAAGGCTTTTACTAGTTCGGGAACACAAGGGGAGCTGTCATAGCCATTACGTAACAAGGCAAAAGCCAGCAGACCGACTGGTTGGATTCATAATTTTTTAGAACCATTCGCACAGCACGAGAATATAACTTTTCTATTGAGTCAAATCGACTCGAAGCTTGACTGCATACCCCTAAAATAGGGTAAGTTACTTCAAACACGAAGTCAAGTCGGCGGTACCCGAGCAAATAACGCGTGATAAGACATGGAGACAGCCGGGAGTGAACTACACACAAGGCGATTGGCAAGAGCTAACACGTCATCGTCTTTGTATTACACTATGCTATTTTGATAATCCGCACGGCTATTTCAGAGTTCAGCGGGGGTGTTACAGCTACGCGAACAGCAAATGAAATCGACCACCGAACGCTCTTTGGCATCATTCTCATGACTTTGTGTTGTGTTGAAAAGTGGTCAGAAACCCTACATAAACGTGCGACACAAAACCGACTTTCATACTAAAGTGGACGCGCAGCTGTGCTCGGCGAATGCACAGATGCTCCGCAGTAGGTTTGGTGGTGTAAAGAGATTGGTTACGCACGTGTTGTAATAAGTCAGACGTTTCAACGTGTACCATGACGCGCTGAGCTTTGAAGCCCTAATGGCCCGCTGTCTTGCGCGTGAGGGGTTGGCAGCATCCGGTTGTGTAATACAATTTCACCGTTGTTGGTGCAATCCAGTGCGTCGAGGCCTGCCCGCGCACGCACGGGACAAAGCCGGCATTAACCCGCGCTGCCATGCGTGCGCCCGCGGCGCAGCCTGACGGCAGTGGAGAAATATACAAACAAGTAACGTTGATTCCACGTGATTACATTTCGTTCACTTCGCGTGACGCCGTAGAGCTAATGAGAGGCAATGTTTTCATCCACACCAACAGGAGGATGTGCTTCCTCGTTGCCTTGCTGGGACTGTTGACTGACGATGCGTTACGAGCGGGGGCTCTTCTCCACACGGAAGGCTCACCCGCAAGCAGCCACGTGCAGCCAGTGGCATCACGTCATGCAGATTACAGTGCGGTGTCCTGCCCAGGAGATCAGCGCTGGCCGGCAGGAAAGTCACTTCCATATCGGTCCTAAGAGTGGCGGGGACCACAGTCGTCTCCCCTCCCCTTGAGATTAGTCCCACCTGGTGCCGAGGAGGACCGGGGACAACGATGATCACGTTAATCGGAGCCTACACAGTCTCGCAGCTGATGCAGCTACGCGACCGGTAAGTAGTTTAGTGAGGTCTAATGTCTAACAACGCTAAGTCAGGCGCAATGTGTCATATTTGGCAAATAGTTGGGCTGGGTTTGGCCGACTGCGGGCCGGCGAGGCCGGGACCTAGACAGCTCTCATGCTTCTCCATCTGTCCGGTGAGCTATCCAGGTCTGCCTGGCTCAGCTCGGCTTACCTGAGCACGGCTGTCTCGCTCAGCTCGGCTCATCTGAGCACGGCAGCGCGCCAGGCGACCGTTATCATCAGCTGCCTCGTTCGGCTCAGCTCACCTGTGCAAGGCCGTGTGTCAGGCGCCGTGATCATCAGGTCTGCTCGCTCGGCTCAGCTCACCTGTGCACGGCCGTCTCGCTCAGCTCGGCTCACCTGAGCACGGTCGTGTGCCAGGCGGCCGTGATCATCATGCCTGCCTCGCACGGCTCAACTCACCTGAGCAAGGCCGTGTGTCAGGCGGCCGTGATCATCAGGCCTGCCTCGTTCGGCTCAGCTCACCTGTGCAAGGCCGTGTGTCATGCGGCCGTGATCATCAGGTCTGCCTCGCTCGGCTCAGCTCACCTGAGCACGGCCGTCGCTCAGCTCGGCTCACCTGAGCACGGCCGTGTGCCAGGCGGCCGTGATCATCAGGTCTGCCTCGCTCGGCTCAGCTCACCTGTGCAAGGCGTGTGCCAGGCGCCGTCTGCCTCGCTCGGCTCACTCACCTGTGCAAGGCTGTGTGCCAGGCGGCCGTGATCATCAGGTCTGCCTCGTTCGGCTCAGCTCACCTGTGCAAGGCCGTGTGCCAGGCGGCCGTGATCATCAGGTCTGCCTCGCTCGGCTCAGCTCACCTGTGCAAGGCCGTGTGCCAGGCGGCCGTGATCATCAGTCTGCCTGTTCGCTCATCTCACCTGTGCACGCCGTCTTGCTCAACTCAGCCCACCTGAGCACGGCCGTGCTCATCAGGTCTGCCTCGCTCGGCTCAACTCACCTATGCACGGCTGTGTGCCAGGCGGCCGTGATCATCAGGTTGATGGGCACGTCCACAGGGATGACGTCGGCCACCAGGTCCTCGTGGCAGAGCAGCGTGCGCATCAGGCCCTTGCCGGCGCCGGCGATCATGCCGGTCGGCCCGTTGAAGTTGTCCACCCAGCCGGGGATCGGCTCCTTCCAGGCGCAGGTCACTGAGGCAAGGGGTGCGGTCAGGTCGGGCCTTCGGGTCTGGTCAGGGCATGGCAGGTGAGCTGGAGACGCAGTTGCCAGACTCCGGAAGCGGGAGATGTGAAGACCAGCATCATTTGAAGACATGTAAAGGTGATGAACTTGAAGCAATATAGATATACGATTTCAAAAATGCTGCCTGAACTAAGGTTAGAATTTCTGGCATCAGCAACGTGTAAAAGTAGTGGTTAAAGGAAGCTGAAGGCGAAAAAAATGCTGATTGGCTGCGTATTCCTGCTAAACGGTATTTCAGATTGCGTTAAACAATTAGCACAAATACAGGAGCAAATTCAGTGATGTGCATGTACATAAATACATACAAACATATGCATATACATACATGCATATATATATATATATATATATATATATATATATATATATATATATATATATATTGCGTGCCACAACCTCAAATTGCATGCCGATTTGTATATACACACTTCAGAAATCAGACGGACACCAGGTAACGTACTTGTTCCCCGCGACTGGAAAAAAACAACTACGGTAACACTCAGATCTAGCCTAGCATCACCGCTGCTGGCATGTCCGGCTTGTTGAGTCCCCAGCACAGATGGGTGGGATCTTAGTGGTCATATGGGGACCGACACACGATGATCCAACAAGTGGCTTTCACGACTCGTTCGAAAGTTTTGACGGGTTCTCCAGCAAACTCCTTGCCTGTCATCCGCAGCAATCCATGTGACGGACACAGCTTAGCGTCACGGGGATGTTTTTGTGCTGGATTTCTCCGCTGGGTTCCATAAGTGCGGCTTAGTAGCTTACGTGCAGCACACCATTTCTGCTGGCACGCCGTGAGAGATTTCATGCTGGCCAGCTACTGGTCTGGCATGATCCAAGTCATCATGACTAGCAATTGCGTTGCGTGCGACACTCCTCAGAGATCACTGGGAGCACTCCAGCAATGTAGGTAAGACACTGTGGTCAGCATTGCAATGCCACAGCCGACGGCGATGTCTCGATCCCTCGGTGCAAGGCCGCCGACAGCGAGCATTTCCAGTTCGTGAACAGTGGAAAGAGGCACGGTTGGCGACTGCGGTGCTGAGAGAAGCACCTTACGAGTCTGACACGTGGCGTGAAGTTATTGAGCAGACTTTTCACAGATTGGGAACCGCAGGCTTGACATTTATGGCGTATCGTTACTGCGGTTCCGATCCAGCTGCAGATGCTCCATGTGCATGCTGGAGCCTTCAAATGGGTGTGGTTCCGATCGTATCCGATGGCAGAGCATTAAAGAATTAAATCATCTGGGTACCACTCATCCATACTGCTATCATCTGATGCCCTCCAACGGTTGCGAAGGCTGGTGCAACTTACGCTAATTCGTGCCACTGTCAGGAACCACCTAACATACCTATCAAAAGCGGAAAGAATACGCGGTGGAATTGCCACACCTGAGTGGTGTTTCATCGGCTCAGAGGATGAGCTGATGTGACGTAGCGATCTGCATCAGCCTTGACCAACATATCTGCGGAAGCATGATGCAAGGTGCCGGACAAGCTAGCTCACCGCACCAACCCACGGCATTCCTTCCACTTACATAGATGGCACATGAACAAGTCCCTGAAGAGCAGTGTGTTAAGTAACTTAGTTATCCCTACATTATTTTGGTATCATGTTGAACTGCATCATGCATAATGTGGGTTCCGTGGGTAGCACAGCAAAATATAGCCGCAACGTATCTGATAAAAAAATCCGGCTATGCGCCAAAACACCGGCTTTCCAAGCTTAATGGCAACCGTGGAGTGACAGAACATGGTAGCTTTCCCTTAACAGGTGCAGAATTCGCTATTTGCATTCACATGTGTTTGAGGTATAAGCTCAGCAGCTAGTAAGCCATCAGTAGGTTGTAGATGGTACTAGACGTGAAGCACGTGGCCGTCGACACGCCTGGACGGCTCGCGTCAGCACGCGTGGGCACGCGCGGCCATGCGGCCGGCCCCGGACGAATGCTGTCGGACGAGCGCGTGGGACGCGTTCTCCCAGCAGGGCCCCGGCATGCCCCTTCGTCCTGCTCGGCCGGGCGGCACTGCCGCGTCGGGCGCCTCATTAGACTGGCCGCCGCTATCCGGTGAAACCGGCCCCGTCCGCGGCCCCTGTCCCGGCACGGGGGCGCCCCACCGCCCCGCCGCTGCGTGGACGCTTTCACTGGGCGGCGGCGGCGCGCTGCAGACGTCTGGCCGGCCGGCCCGCGTAACAGCGGGACCCGCCACCCGGTAGATAGCAGACCTGCATGCCCGTCTCAACCCATTTTGCATGGAGATAACTGCAACAGGCGTATTCCGGTCTTGGGCCTTGTCTGGCTGTCAGCAACAGCTCCCTTATCGCCATCACACCAACATTCGACGATGGAGCAAACCAAGTTTAACATATCGGGGTAGTTTGTAAAGATAACGACAAATATCAAAGACCAATATTGTTTGCATGTTTCTTATATTTTGTAACATATAGTGCTGCAGCATTACTTAGCCATGACTATAAAATCACGCAAGTAATTGATTCGACAAAGGGCTTATTGTGAAGAGCTAAGGAAACAAAATCGGAGGTATGTACAAGTGCAATAATACACATACAAATACACAATTAATACAATGCACTAATGCAACTAGTACTCCGGCTGACGGCACCACGACATATATACTGCAGTCAGGTGCAGGCAACATATGAAAAACGCGGCCTCATTCACTCCATGAGAATGACATTGCTGCTCCGGTTTTTCCGTGGGCAAGAGCCCTTCCGTTGCTAGCTGCGATGCTTAAGTACTTCGGACCCCACCGTCTGGATGCTGCCATGTCACGTGCTGCTTACCCTGGAACATGCAGTCCGGACCTCTCCGCCTGCCGGTAGGACCCCACTGGCGGGCGGACTAGAGCAAGCCCATGAGAAGGGCGGATGGCTCGTCCTGGCCGAGCAAACTCCATACATGGCAGGCAAGCTGCTTGCGCTTAGCATTGTTACATCGCAACAGACACACATCTAGCCTTCCCAACAACATGTCCGGACGCTGCAAGTCCACCTGCGAATTCCTGAGCGGACGGGCTGTAGTCGGTCAGTTAATCATTGAGTTTTAAGGGCGCGTCAACCGGGACGGGCTTTAGTCGGGTGGCTTGTGGACGGGTTTCTGGCGTGACGTTTTCCCAAACGAAGGGCGTGGTCGTGCCGCAGTAAGCAAAACAACTACTTTCGCCTCGGTCAAATGGCGAAAGCCGCGCCTGCACGGAACGCCAGGCTTGTCAACCGAGATGTTGCAGAGCACACCGGCCTGAAGGTCGTCGTCGGGCGAAGGCATCAATAAAGTCTACGGAGGCACAGCTTTGCGTCACGCTGAGCGGTACGAGTCACCGACAGCAACTAGGGCGAGTTGGAAGCTGGTGCATCGGGGCCAACGCCAGCGGCAGGTCCGCTTGCGTCTTCGGTGTTCGTGTGTGTGCGTGTGCCTGTCAGTCAGGCCGCTTTGTGACACGGCGGCGCGTCTTGCACGGAGATCTGCATGGTGTCGCAGGCGTCGCGGCTGCTGTGGTGCCGGCCTGCGACGGACCCCGTCGGCCGATGCACAGACCATTCAGTGAGATGCCTGTCCGGGGATGTAAAAGCCGTGTGGTTAGCGCTTTAGGCTCCCCCGCTTGGGGCTCGGGTTCGAACCCCGGTCGCGCCATGGCTCCTGAGTAGCCGCGGGCGCTCCATTACAGGGTGCGCGACCACGTGCGTTGCGTTCCTTTAACATGCGCTTTGCTGGGCGTCAATGCGGCGAGGTTTTTCCAACATAACTTCCGAATGACGCAACTACGCCGCGCCAAGCTTTGCATACCTGTACACAATGTGTACCGAAAATTCTGGCATAGAAAATTGGGATGTACCTTGTAAAGTCACTGATCGAAGGTAGGTCAAACTCAGGCCGTGTCTGTCAGCAAGGCAACCTCTGAGGAATCGGTCACTATGATGATGATGACACCCAAGTGTAAGACGAAGCCACACATCTCTGATATAGTTTCCAAGAAAATTAGACAACAGAATTTAGAATGACAATAAACTCAGTTGACCTTATGGCAGGTATGAGGGTCAGACCGAGTAGCCTGCTTTGTGACTGGCAGGCTTGCTTTAAGGGGTAGTTTCTTATGTTGATATCCAATATTCTTATAGCAGGGACCACGCATGTTATCTTTGATGGACTTCTTAAGGGTCAGAGGACGTCACTGACCTAAAATTACCCCGGCCAACAGTTTATTTTTAAAGACATACCGTCTGGTAGCCTTTTACGCTTAGTCAAATGCAAATGTTATAATGATATCGTATGATTTTGGTCACCAAGACCTTTTAGAAGTCAAAAAGGTCATTGACCTAATATGACTATCAGTCACCCTTTGCATTAAATAGGTATCTAAGTTCAAGGCGGTTGCGTGAGAAGGTCCTGCGGCGCTTTGAATGCCAATGCTTGAGTATGGCCTTGCTTGATCTTATTTGACCCGACGTTCATAACTAAGGAGCCTTAAATTTCAACACAAGCGAGTACACATACAGGTCAACACGCGCTATGAATCTGGTGCATCCATCCCCTCAGATTGTTATATCTCAGGCGGTCAAATTCCCCGCTCCCCCACCGGAGCGTTTGATATTCAACCGGAGACCCGGGTGCGAGTTAGTAAAAATAAAAGAAGCTTCGATTGTTCAGTAACTGTGACGAGCGCTGGTGCTGGACTCAGAAAAGCGAGCATGAAGTAATCTTCAGCTTTTGAAAATGACTAGCATGTTTAACTCTTTTGCTTGAAACGCTATATGGATCACCGTAATGGTGGAGGAGTTGCGTGCAGTGTCAAAGGTATGGTGCTGGTTTTTGAGAATCTCAGTGACAATGATTCACGTTCCGTGACATTCTTTTATGACAAGCCTTATTATCAAACAAATTTGGTTGCATGAAAAGGATAAACGAAACGAATCTGATATAGGAACGATGCAGATACCATGCCGTTGTTAACACGCGCCAGGGCGGCCGGCAAGATACCCTTCGCCCGGGTGGGGGTGGGGGGCCAATTCGACCCCACCGAGATCTTGGGAGCTAAGTAAGCGAGAGACACCAAATTTATAA